CTGAGACTGATAAACTAATTAAGTATCTAAATGTGATTGCAAACATCACTGGTGAATACGTCTCATCAAAGTCAATTTCGAATCTTTTAAGGGAACCTTGAGCCATGAGTCTGGCCTTATATTTAACAACCTCATTCTCTCAATTTGTTTTCTTGTGAGTACTCATTTATATCTTAAAGGTATAAAGTTTTTAGGCGTTTGGACTATAGGTCTAAATACATTACATTTTGTCAGAGAAGTTAATTCTGTTTGAATTGCTTCTTCCTATTTTGGCCAATCATGTCTCTTTCGATACTTATCAACAGAATGTGGCTCAAAATCATTATTCATAATTTCAGTAACTACTGCAAATGAAAATATGTCATTGACGATAATTGTCTTACAGTTCCACATTTCTCTTGTATGAGCATACTTTATAGAGACTTCTTCATTTCTATGTTCTTGTATTTCTTCACAGATTTGTTTCTCTTTACGGGCTTGTGTCTTTTAGGGACTATTAACTCTTCTGGAGTTAGTTTAGAGGATGTGGAATTGTCTATTAGCCTAGTATTGTCAATATTGATATATATCTAATTCTTTGCCTTTTATTTTCTAAGAATAATATCCTTGGCTCCAATAGGTCTACCACGCTTAGACCTGGCAAAATGGGTGTATACTCGTTTTGAAAATGGGTACGGGTAGGCATTTTAGGACTTGTTTTCATTCGACTCATACCCGACCTTGTGTTCAAAATGGTTAGGCTGGGTAATACCTGCAGGTACCCGTATTTTGAAAAAAAAAAATAGTTAATTGTATGTCATATATGATATTTGTAATGTAATTCTAGGGTTTCATTTTTCAAGTTTCAAAAAAATAAAGTATCAGTCCATCACAAACAAAAAAACCACTCAAAGTGAGAGAGCCACACACTAGACGCACCTACAACCGCCAACACCGATCACACCACACCCTAATATTGCCCATCGCACCATGCACCAGATGCATGCTAGAAGTGTAGCCGCCACATCCCATTCCCATTTCCCACCCACCGCACGCCGACAAAGAGAGACAATCTTTAGCTTCCACTAACAATAACATCCAACAGGTGTGTTTTTGGTTTAAAATGAATGAATATTGAGAAGTGTTGAAATGTTGTGATTTTTGTTTGTGGATTATTGTGTTGGTTTGGTGGGGAGAATTTTTGAAATATTGTGATTTGGATGTGTTGAATGGCTCACTTGAGAAATTTTGGTTTTGTTCGCCATTTTCACCTTGCTCTGCCCACCACCTACTTGATAAATTATTGTGCCCAATACCAACAAAATCTGTCCAGGCGCAATTGTATATACCTTTTCGATAAGTTCTTGAAAATACACTTATACTTAGTGGTTTATAGGTATCATTTGTGGGAAATTAGGATTAATTCGCATGAATTAACTTAATTGTTTCATAAACGCGCTTTTCGGGATAACGGGTATTTTTGTTGTGTTTTTAGGGAATAAGGGTCAAAAATAATATTTGGGTGAGACATGATGTTGGCGGGAGAATTTTTGATGACTAGAAACAAACGGATCAAGAATCGGAGTTGAATTGTAGAAGTAATGGAGTTTTGAAGTAAAGAGGAAATTCTACATTACGATCCAGTTTGAGCATGTCTCAGTGTTTCAACAGTAACTTGAGCTGTAGATATTGTATCGAGATGTTTCTTGAACCGTTGGAAATTTGATTCAAAGGGCTAAATTTCATATGTTTATCATATTTCCGATTCCATCGTTATCATACTAAAAAATTACCATCTCTGGAGTGCTGAAGAATGATGCAAGGATAGCAGAGGAATTGGACCATGCCGCAGCACTGTGCTGTAGCACACTTAGTCCAGAACCAACCATGCCGTAGCACTGTGCCACATCACACCTAGTCCAGAATCAACCATGCCGCAACACAGTGCTGGGGCACAATCACAACAGCTGGAAATTTTTCTTCCGTTTTTTACTAGGAAAATAGGGTTTAAGAGTCCTAAACTAACTAGAATTAAGGAAAACAAAACCCTAACCCTTGTGGGATATAAATAGAAGTCTTTTAGCATTATTTTGGGGGAATTTATTTTAGAGATAAAAAAAGAGAGAACAAAGATATTCAAGAATTGAAGAAAAAGGGAGATTGAAAGAGGCTTGGACTGAAGAATTGGGGAAGATCATCATCAACTCCATTGTTCTACCCAATATTTCCTAAGTTTTTCTTATCTCTTGTTATTATTTTATTATTCATTAATATGATTATGTTTTTATTCTTCTCCATGAAGAACTAATTCTTTTGTGATTGAGGGTGATTTCAAAACCCTAGACATGTCTTGTGATTAATAAAATCTGCATCTTTTATCTTTTGATCCCTCTTGGTTATGTGATTATTTCTATGAAAACAGGGTCTAACTAGATTTTTATAATTGTTTAAGTGGCCAATTAAATCGTTAGGATTAATCTATTACTGCAAATTTGGGTTGTTTAGTACGAAATCGCTTTATTAACCTAAATAACTAGTCGTAAAGTGTATGCCTGCATACATGGGGAGTAATCACTCAAGATAACTAAACCGACCATATGAGTTTAGCCTTGATTCAGTAGGTCTCTTGCAAATTAATGCTTTTATTACTTTGAATCTAGAGATTGTATCCTAAGTTATTTAATAACTAGGGAATTGGGTTATGACCGTGTCTAGTCTAAAGACTCAGTAAAGAGAGATGAGACTTATCAACGTTTGGTATTCTCTGAGTTGATGTGATAAAGAGGGTAGAAAGTTAAAGAGTGCTTTTATTATATCCAATCCGTGTCTAGTGGTGGCGAATAAACCTTCAATCTCGTTTATGTCATTGATTTCTCTTTTGTTATAAGTTGCTTGATTTACATTGTTTGCTTTGAGTTTTTTTAGTTTTTGTTGAGTTTTTATAATTCGTGATAAACCCCGTTAGAAGTAGATAATTAATTAAGTTCACAAATCCTCTGCGGGAAAGACCCTTACTTGCTCTTTGCTACTACACGACTTTGCATTAGAATTTAGTGAGGTAAAATTAGGAGTTGCATTTGCACGCATCAATTTTTGGCGCCGTTGCCGGGGATTTTCATTAACTTAATTATTTGTTTATTTTTCAGTTTTTATTTGTTCTTTGTTTTTGAGTTGTAGGTGTTTTTGGTGAATGAGCTTGCGATACAATTTGAGATCGAATCTGCATTCTGATCTAATTCACCTAGTACTTGATAAGTGCTTCAAAATACACTTATACTTAGTGGTTTATAGCTATCATTTGTGGGAAATTAGGATTAATTCGCATGAATTAACTTAATTGTTTCATAAAAGCACTTTTCGGGATCACGGGATTTTTTGTTGTGTTTTTAGGGAATAAGGCTCAAAAATAATATTCAGATGAGAGATGATGTTGGCAAGAGAATTTGTGATGACTGGAAACAAACGGATCGAGAATCGGAGTTGAATTGAAGAAGTTATGGAAGTTGAAGTAAGGAGAACATTCTAGATTACATTGCAGCTTGAGCATGCATTGGTATTTTGAGAATATCTTGAGATATAGAAATCAGATTAAGATGATTCTTGGACTGTTGGAAATCTTATTCAAAGGGATACATTTCATATCTTTACCTCTTTTCCAAATTTCATCGTTATCAAGTTCAAAAATCACCATCTCTGAAGAAGAGTGGAATGAAGAGGGACAGTAGCTACTGTGTCGCGACACACTTTTTCCAGTAGCTACTGTGCCACAGCATAGTGCTGGGGCACAGTCACGGAAGTTAAAAACTGATTATCCATTTTTAGGTAGGAGAATAGGGTTAAGAGTCCTAAACCAACTAGAATTAAGGAAATCAAGATCCTAACCCTTGTGGGATATAAATAGAAGTCTTTTAGCATTATTTTGGTGGAATTATTTTAGAGATGAAAAAGGGAGAACAAAGATATTCAAGAACTGAAGAGAAAGGGAGATTAGAGAAGGCTTGGAGAAGAAGAATTGGAGGAGATCATCATCAACTTCATTAATCCAACCAAGTTTCACTAAGTTTTTCTTCTTCTTTGTTATTATTATTTGTTATGAATAATACAATGATGTTCTCATATTTATTCATGAAGAACTAATTCTTTTGTGATTGAGGGTGATTTCAAAACCCTAGACATGTCTTGTGATTAATAAAATCTGCATCTATTTATCTTTTGATCCCTCTTGGTTATGTGATTATTTCTCTGTGAATAGGGTTTAGATAGATTGTCTTAATTGTTTAAGTGTGCAATTAAATAGTTAGGATTAATTTAATAATGCCAATTTAGGATGTTTAGTATAGAATTGCTTTATTAACCTAAATAACTAGTGGTAAAGTGTATGCCTGCATACATGGGGGGTAATCACTCAAGATAACTAAACCCGACCATATGAGTTTAGCCTTGATTTAGTATATCTCTCACAACTTAATGCTTTTATTACTTTGAATCTAGAGATCGTATCCTAGGTTATCTAATAAATAGGGAATTGGGTTACGACCGTGTCTAATCCAATGACTTAGTAAAGAGAGATAGAACTTATCAACGTTTGGTATTTTCTGAGCTGATGTGATTAAGAAGGTAGATGGTTAAAGAGTGCTTTTATTATATGTAATTCATGTCTAGTAGTGGCGAATAAACCTTCAATCTAGCTTCTCTTATTTATCTCTTTCATTATTGTTTTATTGTTTTACTTTGTTTAATTTTAGCTTGATAGTTTTTGTTGAGTTTTTATAATTCGTGACAAACCCCGTTCGAAGTAGATAATTAATTGAGTTCACAAATCCTCTATGGGAAAGACCCTTACTTGCCCTTTGCTACTACACGACTTTGCATTAGAATTTAGTGAGGTAAAATTAGGTGTTGCGTTTGCACACATCATTACTCATTTGGAACAACCTTTGCATAGATCAACTCTCGATCAAGCAATCCATACCGATCTTCCACTCACAAGTGATTCTTCTGATTTTTCTGATCAAAAAGAGATGGCTAATCTAACTCTCAAAGAGATGGCTGCACCAACCCTTGACCAACAACCTTTATGCATTCGATACAATGATACGGCAGGGGGAGCTTTTGAGCTTAAATCTGGGATGATTCATCTTGTACCAGTTTTCAAAGGTTTAGCAGGAGAGGATCCAAATAAGCAGCTTAAGGAGTTCCATGTGGTGTGCTCGAGTATGAAACCAAATGGAACAATGGAGGAACAAATGAAGTTAAGGGTGTTCCCATTTTCTTTAGCAGATAGCGCTAAGGAATGGCTTTATTACCTACCATCTGGGGCCATAACTACTTGGAATGAGATGAAGAGGCTTTTCCTGGAAAAGTATTTTCCAGCATCTCAAGCCACACTCATTAGGAAAGAAATTTGTGGGATTCGGCAATACAATGGGGAAAACTTATATGAATATTGGGAAAGGTTTAAAAAATTTTGTGCTAGCTGTCCGTATCATCAAATAAGTGAGCAATTACTTCTCCAATATTTTTATGAGGGATTGATGCCAATGGAGAGGAGCATGATAGATGCAGCAAGTGGAGGAGTGTTAGTTGATAAAACTCCTACGGAAGCAAGGAATTTAATTACAACCATGGCGGCAAACTCTCAACAATTTGATACTTGATCTGATCCACCACCAAGGAAGGTAAATGAAGTGGGGATATCTAATAATCTTGAGCAACAATTGAATAATTTGACTGCACTTGTGCAACAAATTGCAATTGGACAAGTGAAGACATGTGGAATTTGCTCCTGTGTGGGACATCCTACCGATATGTGTCCTACCCTTCAAGAGACAAATTCGGAACAAGCAAATGCCATAGGAGGATACCAAGGACAACAAAGGCAAAGGTATGATCAATTTTCCAATACCTATAATCCAGGATGGAAGGATCACCCCAATCTTAGCTATGGAGGAAATCAACAAGTTGCTGTCACTAATAATCCACCCGGTTTACCCACGAGCTCCACAACCATACCTAGCAAGACCCCAAAATGTTTCCCAACCTCAAGGTAAGTCTTTGGAGGACTTGGTAAACTCATTAGCAGCTAGCTCTCTACAATTTCAGCAAGAGAATCTCAAGTTCCAACAAGAAACAAAAATGTCAATCAAGAATTTGGAAAGCCAAGTTAGTCAATTGGCTACTACTGTTGGAAGATTAGAGGAGCATGGGTCCGGAAAGCTTCCTTCCCAACCTTTGGTTAACCCTAGGGAGAATGCTAGTGCCATACTTTAAGAAGTGGTAGACAACTTGAAAAGACTCACAAGAAGCCAAATGATGAGAGAGAAGTTGGAGATGAGTGGATTCAAGGTGGAACAAAGTAGTCCAAAAGTGCAAAAAATTCACCAACCGATTCTTCCAATGCAAAACATCCACCTAAGGAACAATCTAAAGTTCCTATTAATACTTACAAACCTCTTTTGCCTTTTCCTAGTGGGTTTGTCACATCAAAGAAGGAGGAACATGAGTAAGAAGTTTTGGACACTTTTAGAAAAGTACATGTCAACATTCCTTTGTTGGATGCAATAAAGCAAGTGTCGCGTTATGCTAAATTTCTTAAAGAATTGTGCACCAACAAGAGAAAACTTAAGGGAAACGAGGTGGTGAGTGTGGGAGAAAATGTCTCAGTGGTTTTGCAAGGGAAGCTTCCAACAAAGTGCAAAGATCTAGGTAGTTTCACCATACGATGTATCATAGGTAACACAAGGTTTGAGAAAGCAATGTTAGACTTAAGTGCTTCTATTAATGTCATGCCTTACTCAATTTATCTTGATTTAAATCTTGGTACTCTTAAAGAGACTGACGTAGTTATTCAACTCGCTAATCGATCTAATGCTTATCCAAAGGGAGTTGTGGAAGATGTTTTGGTGCAGGTAAACGAGCTTGTTTTTCCAGTGGATTTCTATGTGCTTGACATGAAAGATGAAACAACTGTGAAGACCACGCCATTGCTTTTGGGGAGACCATTCATGAAAACAACCTGTACAAAAATAGATGTGCATAATGGGACGTTGACAATGGAGTTTGACGGGGAAGTCATTCAATTTAACATCTTTGACGTAATGAGGTATCCTAATAATGACAATGATTGCTTTTCCATTGATGTACTTGACTCTTTAACACAACAAATGTTCGAGCTTAAGGGTAAAGATCCATTGGAAGTGGCAATATGGAATGGGTTGTCAACTGAGGAACCTCAAAGTTTTAATGAAGACGTAGAGTTGGGAGAAGAGCTAAATGAAACTATAACAATGTTGGATAAGCTTCCAAAGAAAAATCCAAGGTATGAAATCTCCTATATTTCTCTTTCCATATCTCATGAGAAACTTTTACCTTCCATTGTGCAGGCCCCTAACTTGGAGCTTAAGCCTTTACCAAGTCATCTCAAGTATTTATACTTGGGAGAAGGAGACACATTGCCCATGATTGTAGCGACCAACCTTTCAAAGGTGCAAGAAGAGAAACTTGTTCGTGTGTTGAGAGAGTACAAAACGGCAATTGGTTGGACGATTGCTGACATTAAAGGAATAAGTCTTTCCATGTGCATGCACCGCATATTGTTAGAGGAAGGATCGAAGCCTATAAGAGAAGCGCAAAGACGGTTGAATCCACCAATGATGGAAGTAGTGAAGAAGGAAATAATCAAGTTGTTAGATGTTGGTGTGATCTACCCAATTTCGGACAGTAAATGGGTTAGTCCGATCCAAGTAGTTCCTAAGAAATCCAGCATAACCGTAGTAACGAATGAAGATAATGACTTAGTTCCCACTCGCATTCAAACGGGATGGCGAGTGTGCATAGACTACCGCAAGCTCAATGCCACAACATGTAAATATCATTTTCCTCTTCCATTTATCGATCAAATGCTTGAACGTTTAGCGGGCCATTCTCACTATTGTTTTCTTGATGGATTTTTAGGTTATAGCCAAATTACGATTGCGCCGGAAGATTAAGAGAAGATGACGTTTACATGCCCCTTTGGCACTTTTGCTTATCGACGCATGCCATTTGGCCTTTGTAATGCACCCGCCACCTTTCAAAGGTGCATGGTAAGTATTTTCTCCAATTGCATAGAGAACATTATAGAGGTATTAATGGATGATTTTAGTGTCTATAGGAACTCATTTGATAATTGTTTGGGTAATTTGACATTAGTTCTTAAAAGATGCATAGAAACTAATCTCATTTTTAATTGGGAAAAATGCCATTTTATGGTAAATCAAGGGATAGTTTTAAGGCATATCATCTCATCTAGGGGGATTGAAGTTGATAAAGCTAAAATAGATCTTGTACGTTCCTTACCACCTCCCACTTGTGTAAGAAAGGTACGTTCTTTTCTTAGACATGTAGGATTTTATAGGAGATTTATCAAGGATTTCTCCAAGATCGCAAGGCCCTTATGCTATTTGTTACAAAAAGAGGTAACGTTTGAGTTCGATGAAGAGTGTATAAAGGCGTTTGAGAAACTAAAAGAACTCCTAACCACAGCCCTAATTATTTAGCCACCTGATTGGAGTCTTCCATTCGAGTTGATGTGCGACGCAAGTGATTATGCCATTAGAGCCGTGTTAGGACAACGAGTTGGAAAGTTACCACACACCATTTATTATGCTTCAAGAATATTGAATGACGCTCAACTTAACTACTCCACAACCGAGAAAGAACTTTTGGCGGTTATTTTTGCATTAAAAAAGTTTCGTTCCTATCTAATTGGCACTAAAGTTACCATTTTTCCTAACCATGCAGCTCTTAGGTTTTTGCTTATGAAGAAGGAGGCTAAACCAAGGCTTATAAGGTGGATTCTATTGCTACAAGAGTTCAACCTAACAATCAAAGACAAAAGAGGGAGTGAAAACATTGTAGTAGACCATTTAAGTAGGTTGATAAACCAAAAAGATGCTCTTTCATTGAAAGATGATTTTCCGAATGAACAATTACTTGCGATGGCATCCTCGGGACCATGGTATGTAGATATAGTAAATTACATAGTGACCAAGAGAACCCCACCCAACATGCGCGTGCTAGCAAGGACAAACTGAAGAAGATCGCCAAGCAATACGTGTGGGATGATCCATATCTTTGGAAATATTGCCTCAACCAAATCATAAGAAGGTGTATTTCCGAAAGTGAATTTAATTCAATTTTAACTTTTTGCCATTCCTATGCATGTGGAGGACACTTTGGAGCAAAGAGGATAGCTCCCAAGGTTCTTGATAGTGGATTCTATTGGCCTACACTCTTTAAAGATGCATATTGTTGTTGCAAAACATGTGATAGATGTCAACGCTCAGGTAATTAGGCCCAAGAAATCAAATGCCCCAAAATCTGATTTTATTTGTTGAGATTTTTGATGTATGGGGTATTGATTTCATGGGACATTTTCCATCTTCTTATGGTTACTTTTATATCTTACTTGCTGTTGATTATGTGTCTAAATAGGTAGAAGCAAAGGCCACATGGACTAATGATTCTAACGTTGTTGTAGATGTTGTAAAATCTAACATTTTTGCAAGGTTTGGAACACCTAGAGCCATAATTAGTGACGGGGGCACTCATTTTTGCAACCGTACATTTTGGGCTACCTTGAAGAAATACAACATCACCCACAAGATCTCTACGCAATACCACCCACAAACGAGTGGACAAGTCGAGGTCTCTAATAGGGAAATCAAATCCATCTTAGAAAAGACAGTGAATCCAAATAGGAAAGATTGGAGCTTGCGACTTGACGACGCATTATGGGCATATAGGACAGCATAAAAGACACCAATTGGAATGTCCCCATTTCGAATGGTTTATGGTAAACCATGTCACCTTCCAGTTGAATTAGAGCATAGAGCCTATTGGGCAATTATGCAATGCAATATGAAACTAGACACAGCGGGAGAACAATGGAAATTGCAATTGAATGAACTTGAGGAGATACGGAATGAAGCTTATGAAAGTTCAGGCATTTACAAGGACAAAACAAAGGTCTTCCATGATAGAATGTTCCAGCGAAAGCATTTTGAAGCTGGACAAAAAGTTTTTCTATTCCATTTACGTCTTAAACTTTTTCTCGGTAAGTTACTTTCTCGTTGGGTTGGTCCTTTTGTGATTAGTAATGTTTTTCCCAATGGTGCAGTGGAAATTAAGAGCATGAAGACCGGGAAAGACTTCAAGGTCAATGGCCATCGTCTAAAGCCATATTATGAGCCATTCATGGAACAATTGGATGAAATACCTCTCCATGAACCAACGGACATGGACGGTTAAGCAAAGAACAATGTCAGGCTAACGACGCTAAACAAAGCGCTACATGGGAGGCAACCCATTGAGTTGTGTTAGTTTTCGTTTTTCCAAATGATTTTTGTTTAATACCGATTAATAGAGCAATGAGGACATTGCCCAATTTAGGTTGGGGGTGGGACATAGAAATATTAATTCTTTGGTATGTCTAAGTATGTGTTTACATTTGTGTGTTTGCATTTGTTGTTGTTATATTAGTTTTTTTTTTAGTTCTTGCATGTTTTTAGGATTAATTTTTTTTTAGTTTTTCAAATTAATTTATGTGTCAATGATATGATTATAATTGTGATAACATGTGATGTTTAGAAGATGTTAAATTTTGCTTAGGTTTAGGGGTAATTTTGAATAATTAGTTTCATCTAGTTTGAGACTCTCATGCTATGTGGTATGATTTGGTTGGTTAGTCTTAAGGCTTAGTGATGTTTGCTATGTATGAATTTTCATAGACATTTTTGCGATCTCAAAAAATTCTAGAACTCACTTGATAGCTACTTGAGGAGAAATCCTAGAATGCACATTACTTAGGATATGATTTAGGCTATCTTTGGATCGTTTGAGCCTTTCAAGCCAACCCTTCATTTAAATTATCACTAGTTACCCCTTTGAGCCATTATTAAACACATTTAGCCTTGATTTTCTTTCATGTAACCTACATTAAGCCACCATTATTTTGAGCCAAAAACACATTCCTACCCTTTAATTTTTAAGAGACTTAATCTAAGTACAAGATTGGTGAGAGCAATTAAAGAAGTGAGGGTGAAGGTTTGTGAAAATTGTCAATTTATTCCAAATGTGCTCAAAAGAAGAGGTTGGGGGTTGTGGAGTGTTTTTCAATAAAGAGTTGGGGTAGCATTTTTAGCTTTCATTTCTTTCTTCCGAATAAAAAAAAGAATTGAAAAAAAAGAAAAAAAAAAAAGAGAAGAAAAGAAAAATAGAGAAGAAAGAAAGAAAGAAAAAAGGAAATTTATTGAGAAACATTGCAAAGTATAAATGATGCAATGAAATTATTTTTGATAAAGGGTGGATAAAGTTGGGTGTAAAGAAGAATGGTGGTGCTTGAATGAAAGTGTTTGAAAAAAATAGGATTGAGTCTCTTATTTTTGCTTATCTTTTTCATTCTTTCATAACCTCATAACCTAGCCTAACGTAACAAGCTTAATAAAGACCTATTGATCCGAGGTAGTGTGATCATTCTACATTAGTGGAAAGTAGTTTGAAAAGTGAGCCTATGGAATTTGATTCTATACATTATATTATATTTTTAAAATTTTGAGATCAATTCTTTGTTTGTGAAGTTTGTGCATGTGATCATCCGGGTTTTGAGATTAACGGGTTTGTGGAATGATTGATGTGTGAGAGTTGATAATGAAAATGAAAATGAAATTGATTTTTGAGTTACCTTTGGGCTTGGGTGATGTTTAACTATTCTTTATGTTATGTGTTGTATGCAATTTTTTAGATGAATGTATATCCGGAGACTAATGTTTTGTTTGTTTGTTTTTAATTTTCGAGTCTAGGTCAGGTTTAGTATGGATGTTTGTGGGTATCATCATTGGAAACCCTCACAAGACTATAACTCGTCCAACTAGGGCCACCTAGAGGTTTAAAGGCTTGCTGCATACGTTAAATGCAATCGTGACAATCTACATAAGTGATTTGGGGTAGATTAGATTTATGTTTATTTTATTTTAATTTTCAAGCTAGAAGACATATTTTTATCGCTTAGCTTGATAGGGACTAGCAAGAAGCTAGTTGGGGGTTGTGATAAGTGCTTGAAAATACACTTACACTTAGTGGTTTATAGGTATCATTTGTGGGAAATTAGGATTAATTCACATGAATTAACTTAATTGTTTCATAAACGTGCTTTTTAGGATCAAGGGTATTTTTGTTGTGTTTTCAGGGATTAAGGCTAAAAAATAATATTCGGATGAGAGATGATGTTGGTGAGAGAATTTGTGACGACTGGAAACAAACGGATTGAGAATCGGAGTTGAATTAAAGAAGTTATGGAGTTTTGAAGTAAAGAGGAAATTATAGATTACGCTCTAGTTTGAGCATGTCTCAGTGTTTCAAAAATAACTTGAGCTGTAGATATTGTATCGAGATGATTCTTGAATGTTTATCACATCACCAAATTCCATCGTTATCATGCTCAAAAATCACCATCTTTGGAGTGCTGAAGAATTATGCAAGGATAGCAGAGGAATTGGACCATGCCGCAACACTATGCTGTAGCACACTTAGTCCAGAACCAACAACGCTGCAGCACTGTGCCACAACACACTTAGTCCAGAATCAATCATGCCGCAGCACAGTGTCGGGGCACAGTCACGACAGCTGGAAATTTTTCTTCCGTTTTTGACTAGGAAAATAGGGTTTAAGAGTCCTAAACTAACTAGAATTAAGGAAAACAAAACCCTAATCCTTGTGGGATATAAATAGAACTCTTTTAGCATTATTTTGGAGGAATTTATTTTAGAGATAAAAAAAGAGAGAACAAAGATATTCAAGAATTGAAGAAAAATGGAGATTGAAAGAGGCTTGGACTGAAGAATTGGGGAAGATCATCATCAACTCCATTGTTCTACCCAAGGTTTCCTAAGTTTTTCTTATCTCTTGTTATTATTTTGTTATTCATTAATATGATTATGTTTTTATTCTT